AGCAGAAAACTCCTGCTTAGGAGTTTATGTTAGCTATTCTGAGCTAAGACCTGCTGTGCAAGTCTATTTGTTTAGTGGAGAGCAGTTTAAATACTTACACTGGTGTGGGAGTCAGGGCACTCCTGGCACCATAACCACTACAGTGTGAGATAATGGGTATGACACCTGGAGTATTTGTTTAAGATCACAATCTGGTTTCTAAACACCCGGTGCAAGTTTGCAAAAAATCAGGCCAGAGTGTGTTAAATGAGTTGGACACTCTATTTTGAAACAGGTCTTTAAAGACTGGTTTGCTGTAACAGAATTGTTTCATCTTTGAGCCCCTGGAGTGGGAGTGGATTGAGTCATTCAAAGCAAGATTCAGCACTCACTTGCCTATCACACAGTCAGTTCCTGCAGCTGCGCCAGCTCACAGTTCCTCACCTGGGCGGAGAGCCCACGTGGAGCTACGCTCACACAGCGGGCCACATGTCCAGGTAGCACTTCGACGCTGGAAGACTCCGCAAATATGCGATCTCTCCACAAGAAAGAAGATCAAAGGAAACCAGGCACCGGCTACCAGGGCAAGCTGGGCTGGAAGTGGCATATGTGTAGGGAAAAAGGGACTTGCATCACAAGCCAAGAAAAGCACTGGGAAGCGCCGGGGACGTTCCCTGTCTCGCTGCAACCTCCCTAAGCGTCCCGAAACCCAGCTCACGCGAGTGAGCCTGCCAGCACACGGCCCTGAGCCTCAGGCGGCGGGAAACCCACGGAGACCCCAGCTGCCATCTAGCTTCCCCAGAGACCCGGCCCGATCCACCCACAGCACCCACGCACAGGAGACACAATCGGTCCTTGTATATTTAAGGGGAGGGAGAAACAAACCACCTGGGTACCAACTAACCTACCTTCCAGGTTCTCTGCACTTCCTGTTGTTGGGGGTTGGCTGATCACGGACTTACCTTCTGTTGCACAAGTCATGCCAGAGCTACCTGATCTGCCGGACTTTTGTGGAGGCCATATCGTCCAGGGACATGGTTATGTTTAATATTTGTTTTGCCCTTTGAATTAACCGTTACTTTTGTTATTGACTCACATGCAACAGACAAGCCTTAAATAAGCCTGTGCCTTTAAATCCACATGCAGTCAGTATGTTAATTTGAATAGCCTCTCGTTTGCCCTACCTGATGCATGACATGTAGATCTTAAGCCTGACGTCTTTCCCTGCTGTACATAACTGCACCCAGTCTGACCATCACGGGCATAGGAAGAGATAACCCACTCGAGGTACACAGTGATTAACTGACATCTTCACCCTGTTGAGCTTCCACAATCCAGCAGTAGCACGTAGTGAACAAATAACACAAACTGTGACTTGTCCTACTATATAGCATAGCTAGACTACATACCCACTCTAAGCCCCGTTCAGTGTGATCACAGTGTTTATTCCTGCATAGCTAAGCGAACTATTTCATACCTAAGAACCAATATATGTTTTATGTTTTACTTGCTTACCTCAACGTGACCCACCCAATTAATCGTACTTACTTAGCCTATAATCAGCTTGCATTACAAACTTCATAAAATTGTGCTTCTTCTCTTAATGCCACGCAAATGTTCAACTATGTTTGTATTCAAATAGCCTGTAACAGCCACTGTGGCATTACAGGCATGCTTGTAATATCTTGCACAGCAAAAATAAAGAATAAAAAAATAAAAATGAATGTGTCCAATTCAGTACTGTACCTTTACCCTTTCCATGTCATTTTTATAAAAATTCATTTTTCCCATTAGATGTACATTTATGAGATATTTCTTGAAGAAAAAAAACTGCAAACTGAGGTACCATCTGCAGCTTTCAGAGCTATTAAAATCCCCTAGGAAGCAAACTGCGCTCTCTTTGTTTAAAGTTATTAAGGGAGCCTGTGCCAGCTTTGTGAGCAAATCGTGCCAAGGCAAATAATGCCAGAGCAAAGAAATTATCTGTAATGTACTCTGAACAGGAGGAACAAATTTAAACTGTATGTTTCTGCCAAAGGTATGAAAAGGATTTAAAGAAGGCATCTGAAATAAAAACCACCAACCTGTTAACTTTTTAAGACATGGTACTTAAAAGGGACACTCTGGTTCTTAAAGGCTCACCCTCGGGCACACTCTTACCGTTCATAAATGGTTTAAGCCGTAAGGTTGCCTCCAGCTTCCCCCGGGCAGCATTCAGCTTCTGAATCTCAGTAACTGCTGATTGGCTAGAGTGGTCAGCTGACGCTCTAAGCCAATCAGCAGCTTCCCATTGATTAAAAAGGTGCGTACCACCTTAATGTAAGAGTGTGCCTTTAGGCCTCCTGGCACCATAAAAACTTTGTTTACATTAAGTTGTTAAGGTGACTGGAGTGTCAATTTAAGAAGTAAAGAAGTGTCAGTCTTACAATGTCACTCATTGTAGAGAAATACCTTGTTCTAAAGAAAAGCTAACAATAGTATATACTGAACACAAAAAGAATTCAGCGCTAGTAATCACAAAATTAGTCAAGGTAGGCAGCAACCCAAATGAAGGAAAACCCCTCGGGTCCTTCGGTGGATAGATACAAAAAGATATGGAAGGGCTGCGCCAAATAAGGGTAGATAGTCCAGTAAAGTATTGCTAGGGTGCCAATAGATGGCCTAGGATACTTGATAGAGTTCCTCTGTGGATGCGTCTAGTGTAGACCGTTCCGTATATGTAAATACAAGAGAGGTAGAGGTGACTAATGGTATAGTATGAAAGTTCAGGGTGTGATAGGTAACAGAAAGTAAAGAACTCACATTCAAGAGAGCTATGGCCAGCTCTGGTGTGGATTGCGTACAGCGGTATAATCCCCGCTTATGGGATATGTAGGGAGGGGGTCTCCGTCAACACCGTCTGGTAGTCCAGAACTTGGAAAAGAAAGACAGAAAGCAACAATAGTGCTCTCAATTTTGATGTGGTTCAATGTGCAGATAAGAAGAGGTAAAAAACTCACATTTGAGGGAGCTATGGCCAGCTCTGGTGTGGATAGCGTACAGCGGTATAATCCCCGCTTATAGGATATGTAGCGGCGATACGTCCGTCAGCACCGTCTGGTGATCCAAGGCTCCAATATAGAAGAATAAAAAGCAGCAATAGTGCTCTCAATTGTGATAGGTTAAGAGAGTAGTAGAGAAAATAAAATAATACTCACAAAGATAGAGCAGAGGTACTGCTCTATGGATAGGCGCCTGGTGGTATGATCCCCACCTAGGATTTCTTGGAGTACTGGAACTTTAAAATTGCCAGTGGAAGTAAAAGTAACCAGGAAAGGTTAAAATGCCAGGAATAGGTAAAAAAAAGTTGTTTAAAGTGCATAAAGAGTGCAAAAAAGAGGATTGGAACAATAAAGTAGCCAAAAAACTTTTATTGATCTAAAATACACAGTAAAATACAGAATTAATAACCACTTATGGTGAAACGTGTTTATGGTTATTAATTCAGTTTTTTGGCTACTTTATTGTACCAATCCTCTTTTTATTGCACTCTTTATGCACTTTAAACAACTTTTTTTTACCTATTCCTGGCATTTTAACCTTTCCTGGTTACTTTTACTTCCACTGGCAATTTTAAAGTTCCAGTACTCCAAGAAATCCTAGGTGGGGATCATACCACCAGTGCCTATCCATAGAACAGTACCTCTGCTCTATATCTGTGAGTATTATTTTATTTTCTCTACTACTCTCTTAACCTATCACAATTGAGAGCACTATTGCTGCTTTTTATTCTTCTATATTGGAGCCTTGGATCACCAGACGGTGCTGACGGACGTATCGCCGCTACATATCCTATAAGCGGGGATTATACCGCTGTACGCTATCCACACCAGAGCTGGCCATAGCTCCCTCAAATGTGAGTTTTTTACCTCTTCTTATCTGCACATTGAACCACATCAAAATTGAGAGCACAATTGTTGCTTTCTGTCTTTCTTTTCCGAGTTCTGGACTACCAGACGGTGTTGACGGAGACCCCTCCCTACATATCCCATAAGCGGGGATTATACCGCTGTACGCAATCCACACCAGAGCTGGCCATAGCTCTCTTGAATGTGAGTTCTTTACTTTTTGTTACCTATCACACTCTGAACTTTCATACTATACCATTAGTCGCCTCTACCTCTATTGTATTTACATATACGGAATGGTCTACACTAGACGCATCCACAGAGGAACTCTATCAAGTATCCTAGACCATCTATTGGAACCCTAGCAATACTTTACTGGACTATCTACCCTTATTTGGCGCAGCCCTTCCATATCTTTTTGTAATAGTATATACTGCACTACTATTGACTACTTCCTCATTTCAGAAGATACTTGCTGTATAAAGTGTCATGTCCTCCAAGGTAATCCATGGTCGACCAGTTCATAGGTTAAGATAGGTGACTGCCTATTGTACTGTGCTGACAAACCTTTTTTATGACAAGCCATGTGGAAAAAAGCCCCTCGACAACTGGTCCAGACCAGAAACAAAATAGCACTGGCAGCCAGAAGGGCCCTGGCCCAATCCTGGCTAAGACGCACCACCCCCCTCCCCAATGACTATGATGCTCAATAAAATTAAAGAATGTCACCTCATGGATCATTTGACGGTGCAAATCAGAGGCTCCACGAAAACATTCACTAAGACATGGGACCATGGGAAAACTACATTGACAAAACATAAAACAGATAACTGAACAAAGGACACAATACTCAAACGACAACAAAGACGGATTCCAAACCTCCCCTTTCCCCCACCACCTCCCCTCCCCCTTACCACTAGGCCGGGACCGGTATTCAGGCCTACAGTTCAACACACTACAGCCACCAAGACAAGATGGCAATTTAAGCGTACTGTTACAATACGTTAACTATGTTTTTGGTTAATATTCCTTCTCTTCCGTTACTTCTATTTGTATTACCTATAAAACCACTGACAGGTGGAGATTAAGTACAAATGTCATACGTGATACGTAACAAGGACCACATGCACTATTTGACCCAAATGCATGTTTATTTTTTTCAAACCATGCATAGGCTTTTGCATAAGCCGTACAACTGTGATATGTGGTATCCTCTGTCATTACAAAATAAAGAATTATATTAAAAAATAAATAAATAAAAAGTCAGACCAAAGATAAAGTCACGTAAGGAAACTTGCTAGGAAAAATATCTACCACCAAACATTGCATCTTTTGTTATAATACATTCAAAAAAAGTATTTTCAAAACCTGTGGAGTATGTAAAAATAACATGTAACTATGATGCATAAAATAAGCAAATATAATAGAGTAGGAAAGATTTGAAAAAGGGAAGCAGTATTTGGTAGTAAATTGTGATATTTTAGTCTACTATGTACATTTGAGGAAATTCAGAGCATAATGCAATAATAGATAAGGCATTATCTATTCATGGTTGATTTCATATATTTTATAAAAAGTTTCACTTGGCTGTGTTCTTATTGTCTGATACAAGAAGATGATGAATTTAAAATTAAATGGAATTGGTAGGACACATTGCTTTCATTTCATATTCTAAATAATAATATACTTTAGCTAAAGTACCAACCAGCCAATACAGAATCTGGAAGCCTTTTAATAAGGTTACTTGATGCAAATTAAAGTAATTATTTAAAAGACTCCAGGCATCAATTTAAAGGCCTTGTAGATTTATAGGTTAATGTTAATTTAGCTTATAGCTCCATGTTCGTTTTCTTTACTTTCATTCATTGGTTGATAAAAAATACATTTATATCCTCCATCTTGAGATCTATTCGTTATAGGTTTGCATTTCGAGATGCTGTGTGTTCTCCCATAGTTTGTATCTTGAGAAGCTGTATGAGTCTTTACTATCTTGAGAGGCTGTTTT